AATTCAGGATCCTGCATGGCATTTAGGCTCAATTGTATTTAAATCTGAATTTAAATCTGACAGCAAGTTACACAGTTACAAGTGACTGCAGTTTGTTTATTAAATGGCTTTGGTGTATTAAAAAGAAGGGGGAAAAAACGATTTTTTCTTGGGCACTATGGGGGCAATTTTGTATAAGAGAACTGGAAGCCCCTGCATGAAGGCTCTTGCCCACTTTTCCCCTGGTCTAATTGGAATCCCTTCCAGATTTCTCTTTTACCATACACCTCTGTCTCAAGAAGCCAGACACAAATAATGCATCTGTTTTTCCAACACCATAGAACAGCCCACCTGAAATTATAGCAAAATTTTTCTTGGAAATAGCCACTAGCATTTATTGAACACCTCCTCTATGTCAGGCTAAGTGCTTTACACACATCATCTCACTAAAGCCTCACAACTACACTGTGAGGCAGGTAATGGTATTGTCTCACTTTATAGAGGAGAAAGCTGGACCCCAGAGATGGAAGCACGAGCTTAGAACCAGCCAATCGTTGTAACAGGGGACCTGGCATAACCTATGCTTACCCCTTCCTAGGTGTGAGCAACACCTGGCAGATTTCAGGCCAGCAGGTGTGGTACCTTCTGTAATTGACATTGTCACAGTATCTAAATTAATTAGATAACTTGGAACTCATGAGGTCAATGCCACCAAAATGGCTTCTGGAATCTGGAACACACTTTGCTGGCTTCCTGAGAAAAGAATATCCAGGGGTGGGCGGGTCCTTGACATCCACTTGCCTCCCACCCAGGTCACACCTAGTTTGCCCAGTGTGACCTCTGGTGTGATCCTTAAGGAGCGTCCATGGGAGTTTCTGACTCCTGTGCACAGAACAAATGGACTGATGTGATGCTTCTGCCCTAAAAATGGTATGAGCTGTTGGCCCCTCTCAGAGGAAGGGATTATGGTGGATGATTGTGGTGTCCCCAGGGCCAAGGCTTACCAGATTTCTTGGTGCCATCCCTTGCATAGTTGCCAGGGACCATGTTGAGACGTCCTCCCTTTTGCTCCACCCCATAGAGCTTTCCATGCATGACAGGATCCTTGTCCCTCTTGGAGCTTTGCCCTGAGATCTTGGAGGAAGCAGGAGAGAAGTTACACCCTGATTACTGGATGTGGCTTGGCTTCTCCCATCCCCAAACTGAGCGATTTCAGGGGTTTGCTGAAAGGCAGGCAAAGGTGACAAAAGAGAGACCCACCCTGGGCCTGGGAGAGGTTGGGGGGGAGCAGAGAATGCACATTGGTGCTTGCTTACTAATGCTTCACTTTCATTCCCCCCATATCTTGCAGGGAGGCCATGAGGGGCCCTGGAAACACACAGTCCTTGGAGGCAATGGTTTATGGGGAGAAAGGTGGGTGGGGGAAGAACACAGCACCCGCAAAGAATTAAACTCTACAACAGGAATGCAACAGTTTGTTGGGGTGGAAGCTGGAAAGGGTGGGCGGCAGGGGGAGGGTGATTCATTTGGGAGTGAGTGTGGGGCACGAGTGGATTTCAAATTTTTTTCAAAATGTAAAAAGTAGCCAGACACTCTGCAGGGGAGGAGCAGGTACCCTTCCTCAATATGGAGAACTGAGTGGGGGTGGGGTGGGAGGGGCTGTGTTACCTGCCCGGGGACTTTCGCCTCCTCTCCCCGATGACGACGACGTTTCAGGATGCTTTTGCCTTTCTTTTGTTCTTTCTCATTTGCTTTAGGGACTTCCACCTCCTTGTTTTTTACCTTCTGAAAATACAATGGAGGCGAGCCCTGCAGCTGCCCCTGTGGGGACGGCTCGCCCTCTGCCCCAACAGAGGAGAAGCCTCCCTGGTGAGGGGCTGCCATCTCCCCTCCACTCAGCTTTAGCCCATACTCTATGCTCCTGTCCCCTGTCCCTGTCCCTGGTGTCCTTGTCACTGCTCCTGAATGACCTTCTAAACCTCAGGCTGGTCTTGTCTCTCTCTCCACCTCAGAATTCGCCACTAGCTCCCGATCTCCTTCTACATAAGGGCCCTATTCCCCAGCCTGGTCGGAATTCCTTCCAGCCACCAAGTAGCTGTTTTAGCTGTGACCTCCCTGCCCAAGCCTCCAGTCTGGAACGACAGGAAGGCTCTGCCTTTGAGCAGGTCCTGTTTATTCAGACCTCTTGGTCTTTGCCCAACCTCACTCTCCCTCCGTCCTGGGACCCCTCTTCTCCTCACCCCACTGCCATCACATCCTGTCTTCCCAGGTTGGTCATAACAATTAATCTTGCCTTTCTCTTTCCCCAGGTACTCTTTGTGACCTGTCCAGGAGCTGAGCATGCCCTGCTCTGAATCACGTTCCTTGTGTGTGGCATGTTCCTGGCCTTCCAGCTCCCACAGTAGAGGCTGGGGGCGGGGGGTGGGGATGGGATCATTAGGGATCTCTGGGGCCCAGTTGGGGAGGAGCCCAGCAGAGGCACATAAAGGGTGGGCCATCTAGGCAACTCTCTCCTTCCCCCACCTATAAGGGGTGGGGATGGGGAGGTTGAGAACTACATGGGCTGGATCTCCTCCAGGAGGGTGCTGCTTGGGGTTGGGGGGGACAGTGGCCCAGACTGTAGTCTGCAGGTCAGACTGCCTGGGTTGAAATCCTGTTCTATCTATTGCTTAGTGGTTGAGGAACCTTGGGCAAGTTACTGCCCTATCAATGGCTTAGTTTCCTCATCTGAAAAATGAAGAGGATAGTAGGGTATACTTCATAAGGCTGTTGTGAGAAATAAATGAATTACTGCATGTTTGATTGTTATATGGGGTGGAAGGAATGTTCTGATAAGCCAGTTGGGTGTGTACGAGGAAGCTGTCCAAGGGCCAGCTTAATGTTGGAACTTGCTTCCTAAGGAAGGCTATGCTGGTTAACTTTGGGGTTTTGTTTGGCTTTGTGGGGAAAGAGGGTACAAGTTGGAGCCAGGGCTGAATTTTTAGATAGGAGAGGAGAGAGGATAAGGCCATCTCCTCCAGTGTGGTCCTTCTCCCGGTGTCCCCCCTACCATTGTCAGCCTCCCCAGAGGAGTCACCTGAGTAGCTCCTCACACATCCCCTATTTCGGGGGAACTTGAGTGGAACTGACGTGATGCCATGGACTCAAGAAAACTGCAACATTCTCTGATTCAGCAGCATTTATGGCCAAGACTTTTGACCTCAGGGGTCTTCTCTGATGTCAAGTGGATCACATGAGAAGCAACATAAGCAGTCCGAAATGGGGAAAAAACCTGAATTGCCATGCCTGACTCCAGGAGAAGAGAGAGAGAGGCTGCAGGGGGCCCTGCGGGGTATAGACAACACCCCCAGCTATCCTCACTAAAGGTTTCCCTGCCTCCTGCTGCTGTCTGAGACCTGCTGCAAAAGTGTCTTCCTCTTTCTTAGAAATTTCTTTAAACATCTAGATGCATCTGGGAAGGGTAATGATGTTTGATGACTTAAAATTATATTTTTAATGTAAATTTGTTCCCTCTCTGGTCCAAAATTATTTACAATAAAAGCCACATATAAAGTAAAACTATTTAAACGTGAGAATATAATTCTAGTGAAAGGAGGTAAGACCAAATGTGGTAGTGAATATGATTTCTGTCATTGATATTAAATTGAGTTCTGAGAGAACCAGCAGTCAAGTCCCCAACTCCTCCTACCCCCCTCCCCCCAAAAAACAAGGGCAAGGGGTAGGCTATCAGTAAATCATCGCTGCCTTAGAGTAAAATACGTCAGTCAGAGGTATTTTAGCAGGTCTGATGGAATCGGCACTCAAGATCTTTCTGACTATGAACGATAAGTAAGCACAGAAACAGAATGGGAGCTTTCCTGAAAGGCAGAGAGTGTTGAACCAGATAAAGCAGAGGAAGAGGAGGTGGTCGTGGGGAGTCGGCCCAACAAAGCCCAGGAGCTTGGGAGTTGGATGAATCTGAGTCTGAGCCCTGGCTCTGCCTATTATTAACTCTGTAACCTCATGGAAATGACTTCTCTTTACCTCAGTGCCCCTGTCCTTCAACTGGGGGTAGTAATGGTGCCTTCCTTGTAGCCTGGCTGGGCGTGGTTGATGGGACAGCCCAAGTGCAGTGCTAAGCACAGGCCCTGGCACACAGTGAACTTTGCAAGTTAGCTCTATGGACAGCATCATCATTGGTAATGCCATTTTTCACTCATTTTACTCTGGGGTCAAGGGACTCAAGATTGAGTGGCATCCTCTGCAGAGGACAACACTATCCAAGGTCATGGCTTCGTTCTCCATAGATGGCAGGCCCAGGGGGCAGCTCTGGGGAAAACTGAGGCAAACTTGGTTGCTATGGATCCTGGAGAAAGGAAAGGGCTGATTAGAACTAGCTCTGATGCAGGGCGGAAAGGAGGAGGTATGTTAGTAGCAGTCCCAGTGGGGACAGTGGCAGTGGGGAACGAATGCCCTCTGACCCTGAAGCCATCATGAGGAGGGAAGTGGCTGGGGACAGTGGGAAGGATCTATCTACCAACCCTGAGACCCCAGAAAACTGCTGCCCTGTGCCCTTCTCAAATACTGAGCAAGACTAACATTCCCACAGCTGGACTAAACGTTAGACAGGTTTCTTCATTGCCACAGGCCCCTGACTTCTTTTTTCTTAGAGTACTTACTTTAGAAAACTTGAATGTGTAAATTCTTTCTCTGCTCCTGTGAGATATAAATATTCTTCCAACCTCTTGCCAGTTTTATGATCCAGGGATGTTTTTCTCAAGGACCTTAGAGTCATCCCTTTGAAGTATAATCATCAAGAGAGATTGTACCCCTACCTGTCAGTCTTTATGGGAGGGTAGGAGCCTAATTTTGATAAGCCCCAATTAGCAAACACAGATGGCATAATCATATTAACCAACCTCCCCACTAGCATTCTCTGGCACTTTTCCACTAGCTCCTCACCCCAGTGCTTAAAAACCCTCCCACCTTTTGTTTTGGGGGAGTTGAGTTCAATTTCTCTCCCCTCTTGCAATAGAATGAATCAAGTCTTCCAGCCATTTTTCTTTGACAATACACACCTGATAAGCTTGCCCCTTCTTCCCCCGCCTCCGCTCCAGCCACTCCAGCACCCGCGTGAGGTCAGACATTCGCCTCTCCTCGGCAGTCCTCCACGTGGACTTCCTCTCCGTGGGCATTAAATTCTTCAGGTTCTCTGTATTCCCTAACATTACGGAGTCTTGGTTGTGCCTCGGGAGGGAGGCTGGCACTGTTTTACTCTCTTGATCCCTCTGCCTCAACTTGCTGGACCGGGTGATGCAGAAGGTAGGGTGTGGCCTCTAGATGTGAACACAAAGGGCAGAGTTAGTGGCCTAAAAGGATGGGAGGTCTGGGAAGATTGTGAGGTCACTGTCAGGCTTGGTAGCTGGCCTCTGGGGTCCGAGTGGAGGAGGGACATTGGCTACCTCTCGCTCTCCCCACGTAGCCACGGCCCCTCTTCAGGCACTATCTCTCACCCGGACTCTGCCACAGTCTCCTCATGCCTCCCCACCTTCACTTCCATAGCGATCTTGCTAAAACAAAGAGCAGCTCAAGTATCTCCCTTTCTCAGAAACCTCCGGTGGTTTCCTGTTGACTATATACAAAACATAAATTCCTTAGTTTGCCATCCTACAGTGTCTTCTAATTAGAATGAAGCTTTTCATAAGCTTAATGACTCTCTATTAATTTAATAATTCAACAGATAGTTACCAGACACCTACTATGTACCACGCATGGTGCTGGGAATACAAGGCAGAGAAGAACGTAGTCAGACCTTTTAAAACATATGGGCTAGTGGGAAAGACAAGATGGCAGATAATTACCCTACGAATCCATAACGAATGAAGATGAATGCTCCCAAGGAAAGGAACGTAATTCTATAAAAGCTCGTAACAACAGAATTAGGCTTGGATGGGGTTTTGGGTAGATCATGCTTTAGCTCTGAGCTAAGGTAAGTAGGCTTCAACATGCTGCTATGGCCTGAACATTTGTGTCCACCCCAATTCATATGCTGAAACCTAACCCCCAACGTGATGGTATTAGGAGGTGGCGCCTTTGGGAGGTGATTAGGTCATGAGGGCAGAGCCTTCATGTTTGGGATTAGTGACCTTATAAATGAGACCACAGGAAGCTAGCTAGCCCCTTCCACCATGTGAGGACACAGTGAGAAGGTGCCATCTGCGAACCAAGAAATAGTCCCTCACCAGACACTGAATCTGCCAGCACCTTAATTTTGAACTTCTTAGACTCCAGAACTGTGAGAAATAATGTTGCTTATAAGCTACCCAGCTTCTGATATTTTGCTAGGGCAGCCCAAACGGACTAAGACAAGAGCTATGGACTAGAGGGACAAGCATGTGCAAAGGCCCTGTGGAGGGATGGAGGCATGGCACACTTGAGGAACAACAGAAGGTCAGGGTAGCTTGGTGGTCACAGGTTCTGTTCAGGCTGGGAAAGGAAGGGGAAGGGAAAAACAATAAAGGGATTTAAACAGAGAGGAGGGAGTGACATAATAAGGCTTTCTTTTTTGTTTTATAAATTTTTATTGAAGAAAATTATGTATACAGAAATGTGTCAGAATCAGAAATGAAACATCTGTGTAACTAGTGCCCTGGAGTCCCCTTTATGGCCCCTGCTAGTCACTACTTCCCTCCAAGAGTAAATATCATCTTAATATCTAATTTCATAGATTTTTTAAAAGCCTCCTTTTGGGTTTTATGGAATGATACACATGTAGTCTTTTATATCTGGATTGATTCATTTTACAACATATTTTGCAAGATTTTACCAATGAATTTTTTTGTGGTTGTTTATGTGACAATGTATTTTATTTTTATTTTTGAAGAAAAAATTGCTGGATAATAGAATTCTTAGTTGACAGTTTTTTCCAGCACTTTGTATTTGTCATTTCACTGCCTTTTGCCCTCTATTGTGTTATTCGGGAAGTCAGCTGTTAATTGTACAGTAGCTCTCCTGTACTTC